GCCGACAAGATCAAGTAGGGGTTTGCGGTGTCGGGATCCAGGGTCACATCCGCTGCAGGGGGGAGAGGAAAGCAGAGTGTTAGGGGCAGGGCTCAGAGGGGGGCATTCAGTCCCGGGGCCCCCAGGAGTGGAGGGAGAACCCTAGCTCCAGAGGGCATTATACAAGGGCTCTCCTGTCTGTCCGGTAACCTTAGGCGTATGCCGACAAGATCAAGTAGGGGTTTGCGGTGTCGGGATCCAGGGTCACATCCGCTGCAGGGGGGAGAGGAAAGCAGAGTGTTAGGGGCAGGGCTCAGAGGGGGGCATTCAGTCCCGGGGCCCCCAGGAGTGGAGGGAGAACCCTAGCTCCAGAGGGCATTATACAAGGGCTCTCCTGTCTGTCCGGTAACCTTAGGCGTATGGGGCTCCCAAGGCCAGAATCTCTCTGGGGCTCCACCCGGCTCTGCCTTTTCCTGGACCCCTGCCTCTCTGCTTGGCCCCTTGGGCCGGACAGCCAGAAAAGCTCGTCATGAAGCGCAGGCTGCCGTGGGACCCTGGTAGGACCCTCCACCCTCTCTGGGCCTCCCACCTGCACCCTCCAACCTGCCTTGGGCAACAACATGGCAAATGAAATGCAATGTGGATCAATGCAAAGTCATGCAGATTGGGAAAAAAAATCCCAACTCTACGTACAATATGACGGGGACTAATTTGGCGACAACGACTCCAGAGAGAGGTCTTTCAGTCATGGTGGACAGTTCTCTGAAAACATCCACTCTGTGAGCAGTGGCCGTCAAAAATGCAAACAGCGTGTTGGGAATCATTTAATAAGGGATAGAGAATAAGATGGAGAATATCTTATTGCCCTTATCTAAATCCATGTTTGCAAAATCATGACGGGTGTGGAAAAAGTGAATAAGGAATAGTTATTTACTGATTCCCACAATATAAGAACTAAGGGTCACCCAATGAAATTAATGGGGAGCAAGTCTAAAACAACCCAAAGGAAGTTTTTCTGTACTCAGCACACTGTCAACCTGTGGAACTCCTCGCCAGATGATTTAGTGAAGACCACGACTTTAACAGGGTTTTAAAAAAGCACTAGCTAGATTCAGGGACAGGACTCGGGCTGGATAGACCGTTGGTCTGACCCAGTCTGTCCGCTCTGATGTTCCGGGAACTGTTCTACACCTAGCTAGGGGGCCTCTGAGCCAACCTACCAGATAGGCCGTCTGCCCTGACTCCTGGTTTGCATGGGGATTTAGGGGGGGAAGATAGTCAACTAGGTGCCTAAAGGGATCCAGCAGAGCTCAACCTCAATGGCAGAATTTTTGGGGGCCTGTCACTGCAGAAGCCAGCACAGAGCGAGTTCAGACCCTCCATTTTTGTGTGCAGCAGCAGTAGAAGAAAACAAACAGGACATTAGGAACCACAAGCAGAGATGGGGTGTGGGGTTTGGGAAAATGGGAACATTTATTACCTGCATCTGCAAGGCAGTCTTTCCATCCTGTAATTAAAAACGGTAAGAAATGAAAACTCCCCAGCGTGAACACTGCGTTCAACAGAGGCATCGCTTTTATACGGAATGAAATGGGGGGAGGAGGAAGGTGGAGAGCAGAAAGATTGTACGTGGAAATCGTCGTACGTAAATCTGGTCAAAAAATGGGTGTGAACTTTTCCTGCAACATCATCTAATTGAAAGGGTACATTTTGGAGGAAAAATGATGATTCATTCCCATGTGGTTAAAATAAAATTTAAAAAAAATAATCTTTTTTTGTGTCCACATGAAAAAAAAATGTAAATCAACATTTAGCAACGAAAATGTGTTAAAAATAGCATCTGGCGCTGAAACGTTTCTCTCACAAACTTAAAACACGATTTTGTGCGGAAGTCTCAATTTGAATGGCAATTTTCGTTTTTTGTTAATAAAAAATGTGGATGTTCCCCATTTCAATATTTTGGGATCCATTGAAAGCATTTTTTGGTGGTTTTTTTTAATATTTTGAGATTTTGTTTGGAAATTAATCTTTATGGGGCAAAATGTCCAAACATCTCTCATTAAAAGTGCTACAAAAAGTACCATGAAATAAAGTCAGAAATGCGCAACACATCTAACAGCACGTTTACAGAAATTTCCAATAACGAATATTGATTTCTGCATGATCAAACTTGACACTAAAGAGATCGCCCAAGTACATGCAAAAGCTTGTAAAAGAAGAGGGAATACTTACGGCGTTCTGCGGCCTTCCTCTCTACAAATAAGCAGAAATAAATACGCATTATTATTATTATGAATATTATTACATTTCTTTTCCCCGACGATACCCGCGGTTGCACCTCCCGGGACTGCTCTGGGGCCCAGACAAGGCTACGTTACACAAACACAGAGACTACGTCTACACGAGCTTTCTCGGCAAAAATATATGCTAATGAGAGACTCATTTGCATGAATTGCAATCCCATGTGCCTATTTTCTGCCGATCCGTTTTTGTGCTGGGAGGTTTTGTGCAAAAACACGCCATGTGGGCGTTTTCTTTTTGCGCAAACCCCCCTTTTCCACAAGATGGGTAGACCTCCTCTTTTGGGGGCAGAAAGGATCTTGCAGAAAAAGAGGTTTTTGTGCAAAAAGGGATCGGCAGAAAATATGCAAATGAGATTGCAACTCATGCAAATGAGTCCCTCGTTAGCATATTTTTTGCAGAGAAAACTTGCAGTGTAGAGCTAGTCAGAGGCACTTCCAGAGAGATGACTTGTGACCATTTATTTCCACTTTATGTAACCACCACCAGGCGGAGTTCAACCTGGGAGGTCAGGAACTCAATATCGGACCTTCTACAGCTTGAGCTATAAGGCCAGCTGGCTCCCAGCTCAGGCTGTAGAGTGTCCTTGCTCTTAGCTCCGGCTGTGAGTGGTCTAAGTGCCGGTGTGTGGGCTACATGTACACAGCTGTATTTCGGTTCCGTGCACTCGATCTCAACAGTCCTGAATTGCGTCATCTTTTGTGCTTAAGAAATGGCAAAAGAACAAACAAACGGAGCCAAGAAGCACAGTCCCATACGCAGGGTGCTGTACGTTTGGAACATCTTGTTCATAGAAGCGCAGAGCTGGAAGAGACCTCAGAAGGTATCAAGTCCAGCCCCCTGCTCTAGGCAGGACCAATCCCAACTCGCTTCCCATTCTGCCCAGCCGTAGGGCGATCCTGTTTTGTGCTGCTGTCGCTGTTTCGGGAGTTTGAGAGAAGGGAACAAAAACCACCTTGCATTAATCTGAAAATAAAGCAATAACCTTAACTACAGAGCCATCGAAAGGCGCACTCGTCTGTTACTGATTTATTACGGCAACAGTCTCTTGAGAGTTTCTCCTCTTATCTACGGCATTACCTTTCGTTGTAAAGAAATAAATTAGGAAGCCAATAACACCAAGCTGAACCACCAGGAGGGTGCACAGAACGGCGATCCAGGGAGACTCCTTCGGGAAAAAGGATTCTGGGAAAAAATGGAATTGGCATCACTTCGGAAGCAAGGACGCAGGTCGGATAGCATAGAAACATCCACTGCAGACTCTGGGAGAGACGAGGACTCAGAGAGCCCTGTTTACACGGTAAACGTGACCAGAAATGGACTCGGGTCTGGCTGGGTTCACTGCCGAGATATTGTTTAAAGCTCATGAACAATAACTAATCATAGTTGAAGCGGACAGTTTTTGACAAACAACCCATAAGCTAATACTGCCCATCCAGAAAACTTTGCTCCAGTGAAGAATGCAGACACACCTCAATGGTTAGAGTCTATAATGCCACCTGTAGCCAAAAACCATTAGGCTACCTCTACACAATGAGTTTTCTCGGCAAAAAGGATGCTAATGAGGGACTCATTCGCATGCGTCGTGATCTCATTTGCATATTTTCTGCTGATCCGTTTTTGCGCTGGGGTTTTTGCGCAAAAACAAGCCGTGTGGATGTTCTCTTTGTGCAAAACCCCCTTTTTGCACAAGATTTTATGCCCCAAAAAAGGCCTTTTTTTTTCCCAACAATTTTGCCCCCGCTCTTCGCCCTGGATCCACTGCAAGAACGGGGCCTTTGGCATGGGACTCCGGGGTTGAAGCCGCAAGCTGAGCCTCAAATTGCGATTGTTAGTCAGTGGCACAAAAACCATTGTCTGGGAAGAAATCAACACAATCAGAGTGGCCAGGTGGGGTCAGACCAAAGGCCCATCCAGCCCAGTGTCCTGTCTGCCCACAGTGGCCAGTGCCGGGTGCCCCAGGGGGAGTGACCCGAACAGGGAATCATCCAGTGATCCCTCCCCGGTCGCCCATTTCCAGCCCCTGACACAGAGGCTGGGGCAACCCCCCCCCCCCCCCTCGACCTCCATGAATGTATCTAGCTCTTTCTTGAACCCTGTTAAAGTCCTGGTCTTCCCAACTTCCCCCAGCAAGGAGTTCCACAGGTTGGCTGGGTGAAGAAAAACTTTGCTGCAAGCCTGCTACCTATTCATTTCATTTGGTGACCTCCCCTAGTTCCTGTGGGAATGGAACAAGTCAATCCCTTTTCCTTATTCACTTTTTCCACACCGGTCACGATTTTACAGACTTTTTCCATTTTATAAGATTTTAACGACCTATGTGTTGATGCACCTAATGTCCACGAATGTATCTAGCTCTTTTTTGAACCCTGGCCTTCTCAACCTCCTTTAGGAATTTTACTAGTGTGACTGAAACTCTGTGAAGAGCAGTCAAACGGGTTCTAGAAGCAGACCGGTGAGACGCTGCCTGTTCAGTTGACATGGAAAAGTCAAAGCTGGTTTGGACCGGGTAACGGGATATTTTTGTGGCTGCATCATCTCGCAAGAGGCTGATCACACGAGAGGCTGTTTGCACACGGAGGTACCAGCCAACCCCTGTGATCGGCGTCTGAGTGCTTCGTGGCTGCTTCTCCGGTTGCTTTCGCTGGCGGAGAGACACGTTAGCGCGGTTCGCCAGCTGCGGGCTTGGAAAGTAACTGACCTGCGATGTAAACTGCCGAGCCCTTTTCCTGTCCGAGCCGACTGTTCCCAACGGAGCAGGAGACGTTCTGGTTGGCGAGCGGGGTGACGAGTATGGACGTCTCCGCTCCAAACAGGACACCATCGCGCTGGAACTTGGTCTCAGACAGCGGCGGCACCTGCTGCCCCGCGACATCCCGCCAGGAAACCTGAGGCTCGGGGTACCAGCCCACCGACCGGCACACCACGCGGATCCCGCCATCCTGGTAGCCCTCCACAGAGAGGAGGGGGGTGGAGCCCAGAGCTGGAGGGGAGAGGAAGAAAGCAGTTCCAGAGTGCCGTGGGCGTGCCGGCGCCAGGAAATCAGAGGGACACGGCCAAGGAGAGGCCTGGAGGGCAGAGGGAGGGAACGCAAGAGCCAGTGCTAACGGAAAGGGAAACAGAGGCACAAGCTACTCACCTGCCACCCTCAGTTCCAACGGAGCCTCTGAGTAAAAGGAGACCGACTGAAAATAGCAGGCGTATCGCCCCTCGTCGGAGGGCTGGACGTTCCGTAGCCTCAAGGCGACACGTCCATCGCGGAGACCCCCACGCAGGAGATCCGTCCTCCCCACGTACTCCGGCATCTGAGCATCCGTCTCCTCCTTCCCATTGCGGTACATGTGCACCAGGGACGAGAAATCGGTCCGGAACCATCTCACTTCCATGTTCTCCGCGCTCATTCCACGTCCCCCCCCACCACGGCCGTAACAGGCTGGTCAGGTCCGACAACTGTGAACTGGGCTGTGGGACACACCACGACAACAGGAAAATCAACTTCAGTAACTGAGAACGAGACCTTAAAGGTAACTGTTAAAAAAGTGCCAGCTTGGCAGTTCTATGACTTTTCAGGGCCTGTTGCTAACTCATGATCATTTTCGACCCGGTTCGCACACACCAAATGGAAAGTGAGTCAACAAGATAGGAGTCAGCAGTGCGACGCTGTCACAAACAAAGCAAACATGATTCTGGGAGGCTTTCGCAAGCGTGTGGTGAGCAAGACACGAGGAGTCATTCTTCCGCTCTACTCTGCGCTGGTTAGGCCTCAACTGGAGTCTTGTGTCCAGTTCTGGGCACCGCATTTCAAGGAAGATGTGGAGAAATTAGAGAGGATCCAGAGAAGAGCAACAAGAATGATGAAAGGTCTAGAGAACAGGAGCTAGGAGGGAAGGCTGAAGGAATTGGTTTTGTTTAGTTTGGAAAAGAGAAGACTGAGGGGGGACAGGAGAGCCATTTTCAGGTATCTAAAAGGCTGTCACGAGGAGGAGGGAGAAAACTTGTTCATCTTGGCCTCTGAGGACAGGACAAGGAGCAATGGGCTTAAACTGCAGCAAGGGAGGTTTAGGTTGGACATGAGGAAAAACTTCCTGCCTGTCCGGGTGGTTAAACACTGGAATAAATTGTCTAAGGGGGTTGTGGAGTCTCCATCCTTGGAGATATTTCAGAGCAGGTTGGACACACATCTGTCAGGGATGGTCTAGATGGTGCTTGGTCCTGCCGTGAGAACCGGGGACTGGACTCGATGCCTTTTGAGGTCCCTGCTAGTGCTGTATGATTCCTTGATTTTGTTTTAATTCATGGAGCCTGTTGTAATACTGGGCAAACATCTGGGCGAGCAGCTGTGCCCCCAGGAAGACCGGTGTGGACCCCTGCTGGAGAGCCACTGTCCTCGGGATCCCTCAGGAGGCAGCTGGGGATTTCGATGAACAGCAGAAATCAATGGAGGGAAATGGGATGGGAGCAGGCAGATGGATTATTCTAGGCCAGGGGTGGCCAAACCATTAAACAAAGAGAGCCGAAACAGCAGCGGAAAAAATTCAAAGAAAAAAAAAAAGGACGCTGCCCCTTTAAAAGAAAAGACAAGGCTATTTTGACTCTCCGCACTGGGGAGCTGGGGGCCGGGGAACGCAGGGAAGGTTCGCAAGCTACACTTTAAGGGCAGGTGAAGAGCCACATGTGGCTCAATGAACCACAGGTTGGCCACCTCTGTTCGAGGCTTTGAGCACCGGGTCAAATTCACTAGGCTGAAGTCATGGTCTGCGGATCCCGGCAGCGTGACTGCGTAACTGTCCCTCTGCGCGCCGTGCGAGCCGAGCTAGGGAACGACGGCGGATACGACACCACGAAGACCCCACTGGCGGGAGCAGGGCCACCTACCTGCCTCCGAGCTGGGAATCGGCAGATGAACGAGGAAAAGGAGGAAGCCAGGCAGGAAGCCGTGGAAGCGAGGCCATTTCATTGTCCCGGCACCTAGACGCAGACCAAATGAGAGAAAAGCCAGAGGGTGAGCCCAGCTAATTCCACCCGCGCCGTGGGGATCCTGTTCTCCAACTCCGCACTGCTTTGGAAGCGCTTCAGTGTCGGTTTTGGTCTGAACTCTCTTGAGCAGTTTGGGATCGGCTGCAAATTGTGCCACCTCCCTGTTGACCCCTTTCTCTAGATCATTTAGAAATAGCTTGAATAGGGCAAGTCTCAGGACAGACCCTTGGGGGACCCCACTAGTTACCTCTCTCCATTCTGAAAACTGACCATTTATTCCTACCCTTTGTTTCCTGTCTTTTAAGCAGTTCTCAATCCATGAAAAGACCTTCCCTCTTATCTCATGGCAACTTACTTTGCTTAAGAGCCTTTGGTGAAGGACCTTGTTAAAGGCTTTCTGGAAATCTAAGCATAGGGGTAAACTGAGGCAGTCCATGGTATCTTGCTAAGAATTCTCATTCAAATCCAAAATTTGAAGGCAAGGCCTGGGAACACACAGAACAAGCAGCTACCATGACCAAGGTCAACCTGGCAACCACATTCCACGAGGATGTCATTCCGATAAGACCCTGGCTGGTACCAAAACAAACTTCACGGAAGTTGTTCTCAATGTCTCCTTTGATTCTCGATAATAAACCTGGATCCCAAGGACCATGCCAATGCAAAGCAATATCTCCCTGCAGTAGATGTACCATAATTTCAGCTAACAGTGTTGCCATTAACATGTCTGTTTTGTTTATGTTGGCTTATTTAGCTTGTTAGGAGTAGCCACCTGTATTACTGATAAGAAGTTTAATTGGTGGTGGGCAGAGATACCGTGTAACCTTCGTAGTTTATTGGCTTATGTGCTCATTAGGTCTTGCTGCCAGGCCCTATGAAATTGCTTCCACTCCGCCCATCTGCTGCCTATATAATCTATGGTAATGTTTTGATTAACTAGTGCTCTCCAGGTTAACCCCTGGGTGATACTCCACCAGCACTGGTGTACAATAAATCCTCAGCTTGTTTTCACCTCCATCCAGAGTGTCCAGAATTATTCCCTGCACTAAGTACCCTATATCCATTGGATCCCCCTTGTCCACATGTTTGACGCCCTCGAAAAACTCGTGTAGGTGAGTAAGGCTAAATTAGTCCTCTTTACCCCTTTCTCCAGATCACTTAGAAATAGGTTGAATAGGATGGTTCCCAGGACAGACCCTTGGGGGAACTCACGAGTTACCTCTCTCCACTCAGAAAAAAAGGATGGACAGGAAGTAAACGGGACACTTTGGGGAGCCTGGGATAGAGGAAGACTGAAACGTAAGCAGAGAAGATTTGTGGGGGGGGGGGGGGGGGGGGGGGACCCCCCCCCAGAGTCCGATTTGTGGGGACTTTGATGATTTCTACGCCAGCCAGGTCTGTTCTCAGCTGGCCCTCTTGTTTACTGGCTGGGGGGACGGGGGGGTGGGGGGGG